TTAAATGAAGCAGATATTTTATTAAGACAATTTAGAATATTTACAATCAAAATTTGATTTTAATAACTCTATTTATAAATGTATTAATATTATGACCTTGGAACAGGAAACAAAGGTATTTCGAAGGTTAGGCAATATTTTTCTAAAAATATTGATCTAGCCGTTTCTAAGATTTTCTAACATTATATCGACATTGGTATCAAATGAAAGATAATAAAAAGATTAATTGATTTTCATCACTCTATGTCTTCGAAATAAATAAAGAGTGGGGGAGAGGGGGAGGGTAAATTTTGTTGATATGTCAACATGGGTATGAAATTAGAGTAATAAAAAGTTCAATTGTAAATATTAATATATATCATTTACCAGTGGGCATGTTAGGATTTGGGGTTTAAAATATCCTAGCATAATATAATGACACAATAAGGAGATCGATTGATTATATTGATGCCAATCACTCTACGTCTTAAAGGTAAGTGCTGTGTGATTAAAAGTTTTTTAACAATATATTTCTAAAAGGTAATTAAAGATCTACCGATAACATTGCAATTTTTACTCATCACTATGTCTTTAGGGGCATCCTGATTTTCTTACATTTCTAACATTGGTATTATTTGAAAGATTCTTGAATGTTTAATATACCCCAATTTATTAAGCCAAAACCAAATTTACAAATCAAAAGATACACCTTTTAAAATAAGCCATCTTAATCTGTAATTTTTATTTTGAGGAACCGGCAAGGACTATGACAACGGGGAAAAGAGTATGGCGTGATATCGACATTGAAATTAGAGCGTGAATTCCATGGAAACCAGGAGGTAAACATTTTTAGAAAATTTATAATCGTATACAAATTTTAAAATAGACTAAGAAAAATAATTCCTAGCAATTAAGTAACTAGTTCTGTGCTCTTTATATTTTTTCTGAGCGTTTCAATTTGAGCCATTAGTATTTTTTTTCTAGAAAGTTAAATTTTTATCTGAGTATCAAGAAATAAATCTGAGCATTCAGTATTATATTTGAACATTAAGTATTTTTTCTGATTTTAAAAAAAAAATTTCTGAGCATTTCACTTTTAATTCTGTCCGATTAAATAGGAGCTGTAAAGCGTTGCCCTATCCTCTAAAAATTTTAATATAATATTTACGATTATAGGCTTCAAGGAAAATATTTTTAATTACATGATCTATCAGATTTGACAAGATATAAAAATAATTTCATCATATTAAAATACCTCTTTAATATACTGTACTTTTAACCCATATCTAAACCTTTAATTAACCCTAACCCATATCTTTTTAACATTTAATCCTACTTATCTTGTTTAACTATATATATTTCATCCAAAAATTTTGGTTATTATCAATATTTCCACAGTATGCAGGGATCAGCAAAACTCGAGTGGGCATATTTGCACAAAGTTGCTCACCTGTTAAATATTTTAACCGGTCTGTTATATTTTTTTAAAATTTCCAGCCAGTTAAACTTTTATAAAAAGTTTGCTTCTTTAAATTTATTTGATCTATTAAAATAAAGAAAAAACAGATTTAGAGGCTCTACTCAATTTTTTATAAATATAGATTGTGTAAAATAACAAATTCACTTCGCATGTTTGACGCACCTTCACACGATTTTCTAATGATATTTTTTGATTATAGTCCATGTTTAGAGATACAAAGACTTAAAATAAAGTCTTTTACTCAAAGAATTAGTGGCCAAAACTACTCAAAAAGCATTTTAATAATTTATCTATTATATTAAATATATCGCGAGAAAATTTGTAGTTCGATCATATATGTTTATATCTTGAGTAACTGCCCATTTGTATAATTTTTTTTATTGTCAAATTGTTTTTTAATTCGTTTTCTAAGAGTGTTAAATGGGTCTTTCGAATGTAGTTTGCTCAAAATTGTCAACATATCCTTTTCCCCTTCTAAATAAATTCCACAGAATGAATTCCCAAACTTTAACTTCTTATTATAATATAAAATCCGAATAATATGAATATAATTGGTAATTTTAATTTCGCCTTTTTTAAATTCCGCAAAATAAATATAATTTAAATAGTATAAATAAAACAAAATAATAAAATAACTTAAAACAAGGAAATTCTATGGCAACTCACCTCATTAACTTAAAACAAAGAAAATCCATGGTAACTCACCTCATTAATTTAACCAATCATAAATACATTCAATAATATAATATATCCAGAAATAAAGCGACTATTAAAAAAAATGGGTAAGAGATTTATAACGTAAATTTTTATGTGATTCATTGAAATATAAGATAGCGTCATAATTTTATCCTTATATACAAAAAAGGTTTTCTTATAACGTCTGTGGCCTAATAGGTTGAGCGATTGTTTCACTATTATTCCGATAATTCTGGTTTCGAATCCAACAAGTTCCATTTTTTCTGAAGCCAACTAGGTTGTCCCGTGCTATAGGGAATGCTATATAGAATATCGGAGAGGACCACTACCTCTAATACATAATACAAATAAGTGGGTGTTATTGCATTTAAACAATGCCATATATCATTACCCCAAAAAACAAATGTTGTAAATTCAGCGCTAAAAAAACATATTACTTATAACAATTAGAAGTTTGTTTTTATTTTCCAAGTTTGTTTCATTTGAATGGTCTTCATAAATGATTTATTGTATATTGGATCATAATGAGATATGAGCATTATTAAAAATTCGCGATACTTTTATAGCTATAAGGTTTTGAACAATAGAATATTGAAAGCTAATGTTAATGAATGCTTTAAGAAATAATACCAACCGCTTTGAATATGACGGTTTCTTCAAGAATTTTAACAACTCTATAATATTAAATACTTTTTTGAGAATGAAAAATATATTTAATTTCGAATTCATGTTTTTGTGAAAGTGTTGCATTTGGATCTAAAGTAAATAAATTAGATCTATAATAATTATGTAAAATCTTGAAATTAAATATTATATTTTTTAAAATAAATAGTTTTTGAAAAATTATAAATTTCGATTATAATTAATTAAATTTTACTTTCCTGAAGGCCGAAATTTTTTTTTTAACCTAAAGGCTCTGCGGGACTATTTCCAAATAGGATTACTGGCCAACCTGTCCCTTTAGAGGGGATCACAAAATTTCCTAATTAAAAAAATTGTTTCAAATATATGTATCACCTCTCCCCCCCTCTACAAATTTACTTCGTAATCCTTCTTATATTGTAGGATCCATTTTTGGGCGAAATGACCAAACCGAACGACTTAGATTTATTAGTTAAAATAAATTGGCTAGATTATTTTAAACCCATATGGGAGATGGAGAATGATTAAAAATTAGCACTAAGGCTTCAATATCTACTATCCAAAACATTTTATTCGGTCTCTAACAAATTCATTAAAATTTTATACATTTTTAAAGCTTAATTGTGTCACCTTGAGTTAAAATTTTCATAAAATATAAATTTATAAGATAAGATTTTGTCGAATTGTTTCAAAACTTTAAGAAGAATGTTTAAGTTGTTAAAATTTTCAAAAAAAGTTTTGGACTAACGATAAAGTTTTATCATGAGTATTAGGGTTTTAGAAATTGAGTAATGTTTCAAAATAAATTTTTTGATGTTTTGGACACAGAGTAAACTAAAAAAAATGGTATCAAATTTACATAAATAATTTTTAGATAAAGATGATATAAATATATAAGATTATATTGATCTTTTTATATTCATTTTTTAAAATAAATTTATGGTTTTTAGTGATAAAATTGAAGTCCGTTTTGAAATTTGAAATAAAAATATTAAGGATAATTATAAAAAAATCTAAAAGAATATTAATTATCCTAGGGTGAAAGGATTAACTAAAATCTTAAGAAGATATAATATATGAGATAAAAATAAATAATAAATTCATTATGTCGTTCAACTTAGTTTGGTTAACAAGAACAAGACGTGGTCACTGTCACCCTGTCATAAATGCAAAATATGCTAAAAACAAAATATATTGAACTTATAAATTAACTTCATCTAGTCATAGTTGAAAATTATATCGAAAATATATGGTATAAAATAAAGTAACAGATGGAAAAGCATCCCCATTTGAAGAAAGTGGGAAAAATAAATCGAAATATATTGCTTTCATTCTCCAAAAATTAAATGCCTGAAAGTATTTAAAGGTTAGAAAGAAAAGAGATAGGACCAAATATGAAATCACAAAATACAGAACAACGTGAAATCGACAACACACGTGACTAATTATGTAACGATTAGCGAATTTTATAAATGATAATTGTAAACAACTTAATATAATATTACATCCGATTTATGATTAATTAAAACTGTATTCAAAAAGTTTAAGTACTATATTTACTCATCTTTTTTAAAGAAAAAGAGAAATTCCAGTTCTATATTGTTCAAATTTCTTTGTTTCCGGTTCAAGTATATTAAATAAAATAAAAGAGTCCTGGTTGCGGTTTTTAAAAATTTTTAGGAGGAAATTTTGATTATTAAATTGGAACCTGATTTTAAACTTTAATAAAAAAAAATTAAGATCTGAAACCCCATTTTTATAAACTACAGGATCCGGAAACAGAACTATTTAAACAATATATATATTCAAAAATAAGGCAAAATATTTTCCGTCCAGATCTCAAACTCTGGTAAAAAAAATTATAAAAATTTTTGTGCCATAAATGAAACTTTTTAAATTCAAATTATGCACGAGCTAAAATAAATGGTCACACTTACTCCACTCTAATATTTTTTAAATTGTTAATTTTTACTACTTTCAGAGATCTATCGAAATCCTAAAAAACGACTCAGACTTGGGAGGCTCAATGAAACGTACTAATGTATGAATTTATGAGAGAGTAGAGTCTGCCTCCGGTATTCAAAAGTATGTAAAATATGGTTAAGAATAAAAATTTTGTGAAAAGCATTATTTGAGCAATTATTCCTTTTTTATTAAAGTTATAATACAATCATAATAATATATTTTCATAAAAAAATTGGTTCGTTTAAGACTGACTAAAAATAAAACATAATTTAAAAAAATTATTAACGGATTATTTATTAGCGGCACTCGTATTATTATAACAATAATCATTTAAAAAAAATTGCATCTAAATATTTAGCACCAACTCAACATCTACGTAACCAGTATTCAGTGGAACTTGCACAGGGAAAAATTGAGTAGTTACATTCGGAATATTGACCTTTTTAAAATATTTATTTGTTAATAATAATATACTATTTTTTTCAATGATAAGGCACCACGTGGCCAGCTAAATTAAATTCATTATGTTACTTTTTTGTAATTATATTTTAATAATATCAGAGATCTGCAACCCGACTCGTACCGGGCAAAGGTTATGATAAATCTGTTTATATCAATTAATCAACCAGAAAACGTTTAATATTAATTTACTGGTTATATTTTCAATTTTTCCTTCTTAAAACAATTTGCAAAATAAGATTATAATTTTTCAAAATAAAAAACCAAATTTTAAAAAATTCCGGGCTGGTGGGTATTAAAAGTAAAAAAATTTCAAAATCGAACCTGGTCTAAAATTTGGACCTCTATATCTGATAAACATTAAGACCAAAATTTTTTTAAAAAAAAATCATAATAAATTGTTTTTTTTAAATAAAAAATATTATAATAGATTGACAACTGAGAGAAAGAAAAAACACCAGCCAGAAATAGACTATTTTAAAAAAAACAAAATATTTATATACTGTTTAAAAAAAGGAATTTTAAATTATCGATTAGAAAAATCCTATTAATAGCCAATCATTATAAAATACTAGAATCCAAATGAATATTAATTATCATGAAATAGTTTGTATATAAACTACATCTAAATGTATGATTTTTTTCAAAAAAAACAAACAATTGATGATTTAGTCATTTATAAATTAAGATTTCCGCAAGTATCCTGATTTCGTTAATAGATGTCCAAACTTCTGCCATCTATGAGCAAATCTCCAGGCGTGCGTAATATTGAGATAGCCGTTTTCAAAAATCAAGCCTTTTAACAACACTATACCCAACTATATTTAATGATAATAACGAGAGCTAAAATAGCCAACGAAAAACAACATTGTTCAAATTTTGTAAAAGTAAATGCTCAAATATGGGCAAAATTTCTAACCTTGATTACGTAACTACCCGGCAATAAAAGCCTCCAAAAATAGCCCTCATTGTTGGTAAACACATTGTGAATTCTGTTTTTGACATATATTTCTGCGTAGGGTACCGGAAGTTTATTTATCGTCAGAACTCGTCCCCTGATACCTTTAAAAAATATATGCCATGTATATTAATGAAGAATAATCATTATTGTTAAACAATGATTCAAAGGGTGGTTGGATTGAAGTGACATACTTTTTCACTTAATCATAACTGCGTCAGTTTTTAAGTTTTTTTTCTTAACAATTCTGCAAAGTTTTATAAATTTTTCTTAACTGGTATAGAAAACATGCAACTTTATTTAAAAATAAAAAAACCAAACGATTTTTTTCGATACCAAATAATAAAAAAAATATGAGTTTTACTAAAATGATTTAAGCTTAATTAAAATCTTATAACAAGAACGACATTATGGTACCAAACGATTATTTCAGAAATTTCCAAATGGAAATTGGCCTCTTTCAGGACTCAATTGGGAGACCGCGAAGTGCTTGAACTCAGAAAAATATTAAACTTGTTGATACACTTGTAATAAGTCAAGAAGACCACGGGCACCCATAATTTCTCAAATATCCAGAGATTGGTATATCACAAACTTCAGTGCATCAAATTATTCATAAGAATTTGTGACTAAAAAAAGCTCGATATCTTACAACTGCAAATAAATTTGCTCATTTGATTTGTGCTAAGAAACTTTTGCGTAAATTCAATTCCGGTTTGATTCATTTGATTTGGTTTACCTGTGAAAAGCTATTTCTAGAGATCTGCAAAAGTAAGCCCGGCCCATACCTGGCCCTTTTTTTAAAAAAAATAGGGTTTGGGCTGGGTCGGGCCTAATATTAAGAAAATTCGGGCCGAGTCGGGCCTTAGAATTTTTTTTAAAATATATCTAAATTTATCAATTTTATGTTAAATTTTTTATGTAAAATAAAAATATTTGATTTTATTTATAGAAACTAGACGCCATATAACATATATCGTTTATTTTGAGTAATTATAAAAATTAATATGTATATTTAAATAAATTTGGGCCGGGCCGGTGGGTGGGGCCGGCAATACTTTTCAAAAAAATTCGGCGGGCCGGGCTGGGTAAAACTTTTTTAAAAAAATTTCGAGCCGGGCTTGATAAATTAGGCCGGATGCATCACTACTATTTACTGCTTCACCCGTTAATAAGGAATGATAGTTTTTATATTACATCCACCATAAGAATGAAAGAAATCAGTGCTAATGGACTACTCAGGTGCCATTCACACTTTTCAAAATCTGCCATAGTTTCGATTGGTGTTTCAAATTTTGGCACTAAACTTGCTCATTAATATCTAGCAACACTTGTCATAAGTGTATCGTCAGAATCTGTGTTTACTAGTGAAGCTGGTGTGACAGCCCCTTCCTTCCCTAAGTATTTCTGAAAAGAAATCTTCGATATATTAATTTTAATTTAACTATTTGTTTAAAATTTCTTTAATTACTATATAAATAAGTGAATATATTTATAATGTTATTATTATAAAATAAATGATTTAATAAAAAATATATAGTATACTTTTACACATAAATTAAATATGTATAAATAACACAATCAAATGATATCGGATCGGCCTCAAAAAAGTGGCATTGGAACACCCCTGATTATAATGTTCTGTATCCAGTTTTATTTTTTTTTTAAAAATTGAAAGATTTATCATGTTAAAATAGGAGATCAATGCAATAATGTATACAAAGGATTATTCCAGATAATATTGTAGTATTTTTATTGATGCTATAGAAGAAATGAATTATTAAAAAAAAGTGATCATAGAGCATCATAATACTCATCCGATATAATATTACATACCTCTCCTTGTCTCATCCAATATTCGTATAATCGAGTCTTTGTGGCTGTTCCAATAAGTCAAAAGCGCAGTGGGTTCAGGAAATTTTGGGCAGGAAAGCTCGATGGTAAGCTCGAATACACCGTTAAAGTAATTATAATCTTGCATTCCACCTTCAAATAATTTTTTTAAGGAAGATTACTGTGATTAAAGAGAAGGCGACTTTTAAGTTTTTTTTATAATCTTGGCCAGTAAAGTATTTATAAATAAAAATATTTCTTTCTTTCTCTAGTATAATTATAATACAATTGTATTTGTTTATATTACATATTATCTTTAAATTGTTTATTTCATCATATTAAAATGAGTTCTATATACTTTTTTAAATACATTTCCTTCAAATCAGATTTTTAAATCTCAAAAATCTCTCCTAAATACATGATTTAAACTCGAAAGATTATTTAATCTCTAACAATATTATTTGATCGTGTTAATATACCGGTGATGGGATACCATTTAGCCCCGTTAGTAATTCCTGGCTCTATATACTCCTCCCTGGAACATTGGCCTATAATAGCATCTTGCTGAAGTACTCCCACATAAGATTTGGATAAATGCTTGAATACGTCGTCATCATCGGACAGGTTTTCGTTAGAAGGGTTGCTTTCTAAATTTAATGGTATGAAAAGTAAATTTAAAATTATGGGCAAAAAGAGAATGTAGGTTAACAATATTTTTGAAAATCATAGGAGAGTCGGCGGGGGGGGGGGTCTAAATCCCCCCTCCCACATTTTAACCAAGTATAGGAGGCCTAAATTTGTTTTTCTGTAAAATCTACCTTCATTAAGAGATTCGGGCATTATCCCTTCAGATACTTCATTTTATTTAAGTGCATTGAAGATGGGACCTGACCTATTAATAAAGAATATTGTGTACGATTTTATCTCTCAACTATACGTAAGAGTGGTTTTAACCACTTTCGACTTATCTGTAGCTTATAAAAAATTTGCTATAGCTGTTAGCTCTGGTTGTAAAAAAAATGACTCTGATTAAATGCCATGGTCATTTTTAAATAATTTCTGGTTGCTACTTTTTTAATCATTATCAGTGATCCCTATTCCTAATGAATAAAAAAAACATAAAGTTGGCTAATAGTCGGGTAAACTTAGTCGTTTTCCCTTTCATAAGGGCTAAACTACAGGAATATCAAAGTAATTAGGCTATTAAAATAAAATATTCACGTATAAGAATAACTCTCTTTAAAATGATATATAATTTAATAAATACAAAAACCTAGAACAAAAATTGAAAATGGCCTAAGAATAAAATATGCTATTTTTTTCGTTTTTCATTTACATATCAAGGCATATTCTTAAAAAAATTGATTAAGCACGAGTTTTGGAATTAATGGATATATTTTCATAAAGTGCATTTTGATTCCCGGAAATAGCAAATGTTCCTAGATTTCATTGTTTTATTAGTATTCTTATATATATTATATAAATACAGAATATACGAGAAATGGGGTTCTTATTATCGTAAGGATAACTAACGACCAGCGCTCCCCCGTGGAACGAAATTGAAAAGACAAAATTTATTTCCCGCAACCAATTCATAACCGCTACGGTCTCCAGCTCGCGAGGTACGTCATTTTCCATAAAGTAATCGGGAAAATTGCGATTTAAATCAACATTAGGATCACTGTTACCTCTAAAAAATGAGTGGTGCATTGGGAAGGGGATTGGGGGTCATATAAATAAAATTATTTATGGATATATATTTAAATTGAATTAAAGTACTGGTGACATCTTATAAGAATCAAAAATTATAAGAGGTAGAGGAAACGCTTTTTAAACCCGATATATATTGTTAAATTATAGGATTTGAAGGGAACGCAAAGCAGGATATTAGGGTTGTGCCGATATTAAATATCGAATCGGATCGGTACCGATATTTAGCGTTTTCCAAATATATCGGATCTAGCCGATACATGTAAAAACCGATCCGATCTTTTTACTTTTCTTTTTTTTGTTATTTTATGTTATGTATATTTATTTTACATTATTATAATATTTTCTAAATAATTTTTTCTTAAACAATGCAAATGCACAACACCCTCTAAATTTGATTTCTTTTTTTAAAATAGATTTTATAGTATATTAAAAGTTTTTTTTATAAAAATAGAAAGGAAAACTCAAAGTTTTATTTATTTCAAATCTTTTTAAATAATAACGTCAGTTTTATTATTTATACTTTAAAATAAAAAAAAATTTTTAAATATGGTATCTGAATTATGGAAATATTTTACAAAAGACAAAGATAATTTTGCAAAATGCGTTATCTGCGAAATCATCTGAGTCTGCCTTCAATACGGCTGGGGATATAGATAGTCCATATCGTAGAAGCTTATTGCCAGAAAATCGAGGCTCTAAAAATCTAATATATTAGAATTTTATATATTAAATATAACTTTTATAATTCATACCAACATAAAATGGATATATTATTAAATATATTTTTTTAATTAGTTAATTGTAGAATTAAAAAAATTAAATTAAATGCATAAAAAATATTGATATCTTAATTACATTTGGTTCAATGGGGGGTGGTGAAAAATCAGTATAAATATTGGATCGGTTTTGAAGCAATATCGGAAAATATCGGATCGGTGAATATGTGGATCGGCACAGCCAGGATTTTAGAGTTTTATAAATATATAAACCGAGCTATAAGGCACACGGAGTAAAAAGGTAAACACCAACATTTCCATTTTTAGAGATAATTATCTATAATATATATTAAATTTAACAAATGTTCTTTTAGTAATGGGGGGGGGGGGGGCTGTGCTAATAATAGATATTGATCAAACGCTGATTTTTGCTTTGATAAAAGTAACTTTATCGAATTTTATAAAATTTATAGGATATATTTCGCGATGTCCAAGCTACCGATTAAACTTAGTCGAGTTTTATCTAGAAAAATTTTTAAGCATTTAAGCTAACTTAGTGTTGTTAAATGGCTCGATTTATACCGATTTTTAAAAACGGATAGCTCAATATTTTAGTCAAAAAAATATTGCCTAAACATTGAGATTTCGCTAATAGATGTCCAAACCTTTGTACCATCTATGAGCATAATCTTCAGGCTTGCGTTATATATTTCTGTAAAAATATTAGGTTAGACTTGAAACGTTATTATAATAGCAATCCTTTATTTTCTCATATATTCAATTCAAGTGCGGTAATTACAGTTGCCAAGATTTATATAAAAAGGGAAAAAAATCATCTACAATTACCATTTGTATCTCCATCTATACTTTAAAAAAAGTGAATGGAACCTAAATAACAGTAAAAAGCGCAAAACAAAAATTGACTTCAATACAATGCACTGTGTTGAATGGGCATATTATAGTTATAGGAATGATCTACTTTATATGCGCTATTATTGTATTATAATTTATTATAGAATATTTATCATTTTGTATTAAATTTTGTGGTGTATGTTTGATCTTCGCTATTTTACCCGAATGACCCATCTGCCGTTAATTATTAGAAATTTACTGCATCCTGAATAACGCCCACACTACAAAAAGGTAAAAACTCCGAGTTTTTAAAAATTTGATTACTTAAATATTTTTGAAATAAAAAGTTAATAAATTTACTAGCCATTAATAATAATTATCGATTTTAATATATACTATTAATCTATAGTAGTTTTTTAAAACCTCGCTTTAGCCAATTTTCAAAGGCTAAATCAATAAAATCTTTCCTTTCTTTCTTTTTTAGTAATTTTTTGTTTTGGCTAAAATCTTGAGTAATCTAATTGGTCTTTAGCAATTGCTTATAAAAATTTAAAAAATTGTATTGGGAAGCTTTGAATTGGGGCCTAGCTTTGATTCGTGAATGGAAAACGCCATTTGATTTATAACTCTTGAAGGGTATTTTAAAATCTTAGATATAAATTCCATTTTGAGCCTATAGCGAGGAGCCACTTTGTCACAACATTTTCCAACTTAAGGTCTTATATATAAAAAAATGTCCTTTATGATATTTTTTGTTAAGCAAAAATTTAAACCCATTATCTTTTTTATTTAAAAAAAATAAAATTTTTTTATTATTGACAAACAAGCATGATTATTGACTACCACTAACTAAAGATGGTATTCAGATTTTATCCTTTAAGAATAATCATGGAAACGTAAGGTAGGCCAAAGGCGAGAGAGATTGGTGAATTAATCCAATTAAATTTTAATAAACGTTTCATCACGTAATATCCAACTTATATTCTAATGGTTAAAAAGGGCATCATGTAATATGGATGCTTTTGGCTAAAAAAAAACAAATAAAAGGCTCATGAATTTTGAACCATATGCCCCCGCTGCCGAATCAAAAAAATTCCGCTTACAGGTAAATCATATTAATCCACTCAAAAAATGATATTATAAATGTTAACGTCAAAGTTCTTTTCGTCAATGCGTTATTTCCTTCAACTTAAATTACTTTTTGGACACGAAATTTTTTTTTAATTTAACTGTATTTCAGCATGTGAATGGTGTAGAATATTTACTCAATATCTAGTCCGTATAGTCCTATAGGGGTGGCCAATCAGCCCGGCTATATCGTTATTATAAATTGAATTTGAAAAATAAGAAAAGTTTTTTTAAAATAAAACTTGGTTTGGGAAATATTTGCCATTCATTTTTTTATATAATTATTTTGTAATAAATAATAATAAACAATTAAATCATCAAAGTTAATTGTTGAATATTTAAATTTAATGCATAAACATTTTAAATAGGAAATAACGATTTTGAGTTTTCTTCCTTCTAAGCTTTTTTTTAAATTCGGGCCGCGGGCCTAAATCGTCTTATTAAAAAAAATATTTTAATACCGGGACCGCCGGGTGGACAAAGGGCCGAGAAATTTAGATGAGATTTGTGAAAATTCGCGAAAATAACACATTGTTGAAATTAATATTATAAGCAACCCGATTTTAAATATTTTATGATAAATCATGAAATTTTAAAACATTTTAATTTTTATGGCCTAATTATAATTATTTTATGAATATTTTATTAAAAAATTATTTTTAAATGGCCTATAAACAAATAAATTAAATGGGGGGAAAAAATTGCACATATTTATAAAAAAAATATGACCAACACAAATGTAGTTTTACCTTGGCTAAAAGTATAACTTTTAAAGTTATTTATATATATTCTTTTTTATTGTATAAATAAACATAGTTGGATTATTTTAACATTTTAACTCCATCTTTAATGGGGGAACAGATTTAACTTGACTGCCGGTATTTTAATAATAAAAACAAACAACCAAAGTCGGGTGATCTCTAATGAGTGAACATACTTACCCACAAGACAAATATAAAGAGGTCTGAAACGACTGTGGCATTCTGTTGTACAGGCGCGTAACCAATGGGGGGGGGAAAGGGGGAAATCCCCCCCCCATCGCAAATTTGACTATTTTCATAAATATCATTTTAAGCTAATAAAAATTTTACCCCCCCCCCCTCCCCACCAATCAAAATTTTACAAATATTTGAATATCAATTTTCCAACATATTATTCAAAAATATTAATAAAATGGAAAAATATTTCGTCAAAGAGATTGAAATCAAACGATAATTTATAAATAAGGCTGAGCATGAAAAAAAGTAATGTGTCGTCAGCAGCGATATCATTATTGAATTCAATTGATCAATCATAGTTTATCATTGCTGCTAGTTGCATCTATAAATTATTTTTAGCTCACTACTTTGTAGAAATTTACAAAAACCAAATTTAGATTTGGTTCAGGTTATTGATTTGGCGGAAAATATACATGAACAGGTAGATACAATAAGAATGAATGTAGATAAATATTTTCATAATATTTATCTAGACGTTGAATCGAAGGTTAAATTTTATGATATAACACTAATTAAACCTCGTCTAGCACCTAGGCCATTATTGAGATGAAAATAAATATTGGCTCAACTGAAGAATATTATAAAATATCCATTTTCATCCCATTCTCAGATACTTTTTTATCGCAAATAAAAGTACGGGTTTTAGATAAAAAACAAGTCTTTAGCAATCTTCAAGTTTTATTACCCAAAGATCCTTCTTCATTTTCTAATGCCACTATTGGTAAAATTAAATATTTAGAAAAATTTTATTCCTATGAGATTGATACTGAAATAAATTTAATCAGTGAATTCGAATTGTGATATAAATATTTATACGTTTAGCTATTTTACCTGAGCATGCTATTGATGCGCTCAATCGGTGTAAAGAAACCTTGGCTCAATTTCATAATATTTCAAAGTTGTTTTATATTCTTGCATGTTTGCCTATTACAACATGTACGAATGAAAGGACTTTTTCCAACTTGAGAAGGTTGAAAACATATTTACGAAGTACTGAATCTCGGCTAAATGGGTTAGCTCTTAAATATACACAGAGATTTGGTTCCAACGACAAACGAAATAATTAAAAATCTTGTATTTGATAAGAAGTTAAAAAAACTTGTTAATTTAATTATTTTCTAGTCAATATTTTAAACACACTACTATTAGTATTTTCAATAAAAAAATTATATTCTACTTATATTGTATGAGAATTTAAGCTGAGGCTAGTTTTTAAAGCAAATTTTATAAAAAAAATGACATTACACTTTATTTCAACTTTACATTTAAAAAAACCTTTACAT